AAAACGCTACGAATTAATTCCAACACCTAATATAATTATATCATATGACGGTTAAATTTAATGTCAGCTATAACTCTTAAGAATATTGTAAATTTACTGAAGATGGCCAGATTGTGGCCGAAACGTCTAATGTTTTTATTAATGTAATGATAATTAAATATCACAAATTATATCTGCGATGGTGTTTTATGCTCTTCTTTTCATACGTATATATGGGCTCTTGAGATTCTAACAACAAATTCGTATAAATAATGAGCAAATGAAAGAACTAAAAAACACAGTTCTCGTTGTGAAATGAAAAAAATCTTATTCAGAAATCTTGCATATATCTTGTATGTACAATCCTCGACTATTTTTATTAAGATTTGAAGCGAGGAAGCAATTCTAAATAATTCGTTTTTATTGTGAGACTGAACAATAATGATGTGCTTTCATTTTTCAGTTATTATGGCTACCCCAATAGTAATGTCTAATATTCTTGGAATTGACAGAGTAAACATGAATGGTAAAACAATTTTAATCAAAGAGCGACATGGTACCAATGCAAATTTCTTGGTGAATGCCATTTTATTACATGCATTGAAAAGGATGAATGCCGCTGTTTGCCTCGTTCTTTGTCATAATACCCTTGGTCATTATCATAACATTGGCATGAAATTTGGCTACAATCTTCTTAATTTGAAAGAAAAAGGCCAGGTCACTGTTGTTGAACCAATGAAAATTATAGCCAGTAATATCACTGATATGTATAAAGGTTTTACAAATAGAACAGAAACAGTAATTCCAGATGTCAATTTTACAGAACATGTAGATATTGCACATAGATTTTTTGCATGTGTCAAAGAAAAGTATGATGAAGCAGCAAGATTTACTGAATCTGTTGTTCTTATTATCGACGATATAAATCATCTCCTTAATCTGGGTCTTAGTTTACGTGATACTATGTATTTTATAAGATACTTAAGATCATTTATATCATTGTATCCCTTGTCGCAGCTTTGTATTCTTGCACATATATATCAAGAAAATCTACAAACTTCGAATGCAGATATTATTGCTAATGCTTTAAAATACATGACACATCTGTGTGTTACAACACAACCATTCAAGACAGGACATTCTAGCGATGTATCCGGTAAACTAACTGTCTACTGGAAGACAGATTCTGTTAGATCTAAATATCATTGGTTAGAGAAAACAACACATCTGTTTAAATTGTTAGATTGGCAAGTAAAGATTTGTGCACCTGGTGCGATGTCTATCCTGTCATAAATAATAACTTTACATTGCTATAGTGTGCTCTAGTTTTTGATAATTGATTTTTATGTATTTCTGATATTTATAATTACTATATATAGAAGTAAAAAAAATTAGAATTAGATATCTAATGTTTTTTCTACATTAATTTAACATTCATCTTATTCTCTATTTCTCGTAAAAAGAAATATTTTCAGTTATAAGTTATACAAGTCAGACATTACCCTATATTTTTTTAATAAAAATTTATTATGTTAAATGAAATGAAAAATTATATAATTTTAATGGAATTATATACTTTATTTTCATATTTTTATATGAAATATAAAATATCTTGTAAACTATTAATTTTTTACTATATTTTTATATGCAAAATAAAAAATTATTAAAGAAAATTTATAAAAAAGATTGTATAATTTTATTTTAAAAATTGAGATATGATTTTCTTTGTCCTTTCTTAAAGAGATATTCTTGCCTATCATTTAAAAGCTACAACAAATTATAAAAATTATAACAATTTACCTTACTTTAATAATTTCAGAAAAACATGTAACATATAATTATGCAGCATATGAGATGCTGCTCCAATGTCCTTCATCTTGACCTCAACCTATGTTGTTAGGTTGTCAAGATTATGATACTGAGTGACCTCCAACAGGTTTTAGCCGTTGTTTGTTATTTGTTAAAATGTTATTAACAAAACATTTTTTTAAAATAGTAATATTTTAACATCATTTTACTATATATTCTACTATATACTCTGCTATATGATTTACATGCTCTTTTATATCAAATAAGATAATAGCATAAAAATTAGATTTTTTTGAAATTGCCATAAAAGATTTATTTGCGGAAAATTTGAAATGACATATTATACAATATATTATATTAAAAGTCCTGACTGCTAGCGGACTTGAAAAATTTTTCAGCTTTAAGAAACTAATAAAAAATGCTATTTTTTTTTAAATATCTTAGAAAGTATCTATTTAATTGAAAGGTTACGAAAGTTATATAAAATTACGAACAATTTCGTTTTTTTTTTAAAGTCATATGATCAATATTTGATAAAATTTTTTTAAGAATGTTGTATTTTTGGTCATTTCGAGAATGAAACGATTTTTCACATTTTTTTCATAAATATCTCGGATCTGGCTACTTTTACGTACAAAATACTTCTTATGAAAATTGATTGTAAGGAATTACTGAATTCCTTAAAAAATCGTTTTTTTATTGATTGTATGACCAATAGTTTCCGAGATATGATTTTAAGAATATTTCCTTTTATTTTTAAACAAAACTTATTTTTTAAAGTTTTATGTAAATATCTCGGATTCGGCTATTTCTGTATAAAAAGTATTTATTATCAAATCGGAAAATTTTTTAATTCCTTCAATTATTTTTTATTGAATCTTGTACGATGAAAATAGTGGCTGAGATATAAATAAATTTTCTCAAATTATAATACATTTTGTAACAACCTCAATTTTGTGCGCGTAGTTCGCTGGAAACATTTGATATCGGTGCGCAAAATAGGTTTGCTTCGGGAGATGAGATGCAAATACAATAAATCGAAATCGAGTATTTAATGCTGTAGTCAAAAGAAAATATCGTGTATTTGAGGATAAGCAATACAATATAGTTATGTGTGTATGGATGTATGTGTATGCACGCGATGTGAGCGCAATGATAAAGCCGTCGGCTTCGAGGCCGCGGTATGGACACAGGAACGTGGGACGTAGATTAGACGCGCATAGCAGCGCACCTGATTGGCCGACGCGGCACGCGGATATGCGTCAGCAAATCGTAGTCGCGGACACGTCGCGAGAAGCGCACGAATTTTTTTCCTTATTGTAACACGGGGAAAAATGTACAATACATTTGGGCATTCGACTCATCTCAGAACACTGACTGACCGAGAACATTCGGCGGAGGCGGAGAATCTCTACCCCTTTGCTACTCTCGAGACCCAGTGGTTTAGAGGAAACAGACAGTCGAGAAAACTCGAGACAGAGCACTCTCTATCCTTGGAAAGTATGTCGGCGCGAAAAGCGGCGACAAACAAGCCAGCTGCCGAGAATGCTCGGCGAGGCAGAGTACACTGCCTCAAATTATTCCCATCGATGCAATGGTTCAGGATATGTCAGTCGATTGCTGTAGAGAACTCTCGTAGCAGAGTACTCGAGTTAAAATTTACTTTAAATCTTGCAAATGCTTACTTGTTCTTCATTAATGCTTCTTGATTTGTCTACACATTATTGCGTTATATTTATTATTCCAATTATATCAGATTGTAGATGAGAATTATTTTATTATATTCATTTAATGTATCAGCTGATCTTTCTGTAATGCTCAATTATCATAGCCCATGTTAACTATCCATTATTAAATAAATATATGCAATTTATACATATTTTCACACATACTGTCATTTCATGTTCCGTCATTATTATTGGACTTATTTAATATAATAATTATCTTTACAGCTATTTTAATTTACTTTAATAAATTTCGAAAGCGATATTCCCTTTTCCCTTAATCATTTTTTTTATTGGTGTCATCTATCATTTCGATAAATTAAAAATATGTTGCAACTTTAACAACCAATCTAATATTACTTTAACTTTCATATTTCATGATTATTATGTTAACATCGAATCAACATTAACTAAATTACCTAAGCTTCAATTATTATTGAGAAGAGGCTCCGTAAGTTTCAGCTCGGCCTATGGATTTTTATCAACTCTAACTAAATATAATAATTATATTTAATTATAATCCTAATGTGAGAATTTGCCATGTAGTTTGTCCATACTACCTCACCTTAGCTCAGCGTCCTCAGCCGAGACTTAACAGGAGTGCGTTCCAAAACTTGACTTTGCCAACTTCGAATACCTTTTATCTTTATTCAACATTCGGTGACCAACAAGGATAAAATGATACTTGAGTTGACAGAGTTGAATTTTGGAACGCAATCCAGAAGGATATCTGAAGATGGCTCAATTTAAGGGCGAGTTCACACCTTGACGGAAAAGCGGAAGCCAATCGGAATCGCAGTAGTAGTAGGCGGTACATTTCGCTTCTCTTTCCGCGAGTTCTAATTGGCTTCCGCTTTTTCGCTTTCCGTTTTTTCGTCAAAGTGTGAACCCGGTCTAAGAGCTGAAACATGTATTATAATAATTCTAAACTCAGTTTTCCATTATGTAAGTATTTAACTCTTATTAATAATTTTTATACGTTTATATTTTAAAGAATTGATTCTTATTTGCCTTTTTTATCGTCATATTGTTATTAGATTAATTTTGTTATTATTGGGTCATCTAAAAAGTATCCGCGGTTTTTTGTCACTAGATGTGTGTTGATGATCATATATCTAGTGATAAACCGCGGATACTTTTTAGATGACCCAATATATGCTTTTCAAATTTTAGTATTGTAATAAGAAAATAATAACAAATAAAGTAAATAAACTATAAAAATGTATTTAATAAAAATGAAATGTTTGAAACACAACTTTCATATGTATATAGTTCATTTAAAATATAAATATTGGGTCATCTAAAAAGTATCCACGGTTTTTTGTCATTAGATATGTTGACCATCAACACTATCTAGTGACAAAAAACCGCGGATACTTTTTAGATGACCCAATATTAACACATTTGTAAAATAACCTGCGTGTAATATAATCTTAGTCAGAAATGATAATGGATTCGATGTCAATTTGATGTCGATTCCATTATTATTTCTAGGATGTTAATATTATACTAGGATGTTAATACTTTTAAACATTACGCGCATGTAAAGCCGCGTATATACTTAGCGAACGAACAGCGAACGCAAAATTTTGCGTTATTTGTTAAAAGTTGCATACAAGTTTAATTGCTATGTGCAATGAACATCGAATCTGACCTCGAATACTAGTATTCGGTGCAATCAAGAAAAAGAATAAACTGCTCACAAACACAAACACGAATGTCCGAATATTCGCGTTCGGTGTTCGTTCACTAGATGTATACGCGGCTTAAGATTGCAGAGATGAATATTTCTGATCCAGTTTGTAAATGTAGCACGATTATAGGAACCAAATATCGATTTATCATCTACAGCCTTGAAAAGTGGACGTACGTAGGCAAATCAATAAGTACCTGTGTTCCAAGACAGGCGACGTTGCTGATGTAAGTTGGTATTACCATCGTGTACTACTATCTTTCAAACGACGCCATACAAAATTTCAGAGTGATTCGTTCAATATTTTGCATGATAACTTGAGAATGAAAAAGCTGTCGGTCCGATGAGTGCCGCGATTGCACAAAGCACCGGCTTACTCCTCCACAGTCAAATTGGTCGAATTGCGCTACGAATTGCTGCCGCATTCTCCGGATTTAGCCCCCTGTGACTTCTTCTTGTCCAAACTTGTTCCAAATTGAAAAAATGGCTCGGTGGAAAGAAATTCACATCGAATGAGGAAGTCTGCTGAAACAGAGGCTTATTTTGCAAAGTTCGACAAATCGTATTTTTCTGAGGGGGTTAAAAAATACAGAAGCATTGGGAAAAGTGTATCCTAAAAGAGGATTACGGTGAAAAATAAAAAAAATTTTTGTGAAAAGCTTGCGTCTTCATTACTAACACGGGTACTTATTGATTTGCCCTCGTATGTATGTATTCTCAGAAAAGTGGATCTTGCTATGTAGTTTACATCCACTTTTTCAGAGGGCAGTAGTGCACGGCAGCATTTTGCGATTACAGGCCGTCATGTCCTCTCTCAAATTTCTCGTTTTTACTCTGCTTGAACACGTGCACGTGTGTTAACGATTGAATATTGATGAAATGTTTGTAATTAATAATAAGATCTAAATAATTTATAAACGTATCTGAACGAGATGGAATTGAATGAAGAAATTGAACCAAAATTAAAAAAATTTCACGAACTTGAGTTGGATGACAGGATATTAAAGGTAAAGTTAATTCATCACAGTCTAAAATAAAATGATATGTTGTGTATTTAGTTCAAATTTGATAAATATGAAGGAGATGGGCTTACCGATTTTGATGAAATTAGGCTTATTTTGCGTTTTTATACGAAATAAACCAACAGAAAAAAGTATTGCTTTCGCTCCGCGAACCGAGATATTAAGCGTTAAAGTTGATGATTATCAGGTTAGGAAATCTATCAAACTGATTTTACTAAGTTACTTTATTAAGTCGGTGGATAGTTAGTAATCCTAAGTCTTATAGGCTTTCTACAATAAGTTATTATCTAAGTTTTAAGGCTTAAACTATAAAAAATTGATTATAATCGATCATTCTTTTCACATTTGATCGTGATCGAGTAATTTTTTATGATTTAAGACTTAAATCTTAACAGCTTATTTCAGAAAGCCTATTATTGATAAATCATAAATAGGTGAAGTTGGCCAACAGCCAACTTGTATTACTAATAGGCTTTTTACAATAAGTTACTATTTAAGCTTTAAATCTTAAGCTATATGAAATTTATTCTAAACGCTCATTTTTTTGCAAAGCAATAATATAAAGAGATACCTGTAATCGAGCAGAACAAAGTTATTTTTAACAATATTTCATCATTTATTATCCGAAGAACATAGTTCGTTTCACACGGAGCACATTTGTTCGGACCACACAGGTCCTTCAACAAATAATAATATAAAGATTTAAATTAAACAATATATCGGAAGAATTAACATTACATTATTAACAGTTGAAAAATTCGTTGTAAAGAAACGTTCAAAATTGTAAATTCTCCAAGAAGCAAATTGTCCTTCTTGAATTCCTGTTTTTAATGTGAGTGTATATACATAAAAAGAAATTTCCATGGTTGTTGAATGAGAAGGAAAATAATATTGATAAAAACGTCCCTCATTACCTATCATTGCTATTCAAACCCTCCTAATGGAAATCTTACGTTCAACATAGGTGAAAAACAGACTAATAATAATCAAAATTTAATTTCACGTATTAATTTGAACTCAACTGATTTTAAACACTTTAAATTTGTTTTTTCTCACATTTTAAATGATAAATAGTTCATAAATCTTTTTGAAATAGATTTGCCTACAGAAGTTTCTTGTTTATTACAATTGGGTGGTAATTTTAGCTTACCAACCTACATCAAAGAATCTTCAATATTTGAGTTTGTTAAAGATTTTGAATATCACGATAAATATTTTAATAACACAGCCAACTTAAAGATTAGAATTAGTTTGTTGCAATTTTATTAGTTGCAATTTCTAAATTTAATAAGTTTTCACATAAGAAAATAGAAAAGAAAAAAATTTGAAATTGATTTGTTGAATATATATAAAGTTATTAAACAATTCTGCGAGAATCCTAACATTCTTGTTACTAAGGCTGATAAAGGCAACCATTGCGATTAATAAACAAGATTATATTAAAAATTGAAGATGCAGATAGAGATACTTAAGCTATTGTTGATCACAATCCTATTAACAAAGTTAAAAAGAAATTAAATGGAACCTTAAAAAGTTGGTTTGATAGAGATTTAATTTTAAGAAAAGTATATACTTTTCTTTATATTTTAGTGATTCTGTTCTTCTTCCTGGAATTTATGGCCTTCCCAAGATTCACAAGGAAAATTGTTTTTTCAAAATTATTGTTTCTTTAACACAGCATTATCGAATAAAGTAAACGCCGAACGGTCTTTTCCCGGCAAGTTGAGAGGTCCCAGGTTCAAACTCTGGCTGAGGTAATATTTTTCGCAATAAGTTTCTTTCCGTTTTGGGGGTTTTATTTAGAGGGGGTTTTATTAAACAGTTCATAATGATTATGTTGAAAGTCCGACAATTATTAGCGCGCAATATATCATATTTGGAACAAATAAATTGATTAAACATATTAACATCTTTGATCGTTCGGCGTTCTTTACTTTATTCGATTTATTTATACACGGTTCTTCTTATAATGTTTATACAGCATTATATTCTATAGCAGCATATTTACTCGATCATCGCGTCAAGTGTAGAGAAAAATCCAAAAACAGGCTAATAATAGTTTCGAAGTTTATAGATCACTTGATGGAGTAGAAACACACAATTCTGTTTTGATTTTGTTGGACGTGATTTTTATGTTCACAAACATTCCTTTAAATTCCTCTCGCAATTAACGGTATTAAAAGAAGGTGACAATTAATTTTTCTAAAAACGAACATCCCACTGAATGAATTTATAGAAATTCTAAAATTTATTTTCTCATCGACTTTCTTTTCGTTCAACAATAAAATTTACCAGCAAACTTTCACACTATGGGTGTAAATTTTATTGTTGAACGAAAAGAAAAATTTTTATCCTTATCTCCGATCTTAGCTAAGTTGGTACTGCGAGATCGAATTGTATGAGAATTGAATCGTTACCTGTTTTACAGAAAAAATGATGAATCTTAAGCACTTCCTTTACGCAGATGGAAATTCGTCGTGACATTATTATTTGTCATATCATATATGTTACCACTATTTATATATATGTCAAAAAAGTTTAATTGTTCTAAAATTATTTATTAAGTGTGAGAGATCTTTCTTTAGAAAAAGCAGATAAACATCGGGTTTCAGTGTCACTTTGCTTATTGATACTACTTATTTTTATGTATGTCATTTCAGATATTCTTTTCAATAATGATTGTTCTGTATCTAAAATTCTAATATTATCCCAATCCAATTCGTGCATCTCATTCAATTGGTGACGTGAAACCACTGACATCTCCGAGGTGGATCTTCTTATGTCAGCTTTATGTTCTTTTATTCGAGTTTTTAATTTCCTTTTTATAAACCATTCCACAATGATCCTCTTTACACAAAGGATCTTTTCCAGTTTTAATAAATCTATTCAATTTATTTATAGGTTTGTAAGCGATATTAAAGCCCTGACTATGTGATAATTTTTTAAATTTTTCCGATACTTTACTTAAATATGGTATTATAAAAAACTTTTTCTTTAAATTAGAATTATAATCGCTTTCATTATTGTTACACTCACTATTTTTATCTAAATTCGTTCTTTTTTCTAAAGTTTTAATTCTGTTTTTTATTGTTGAAAAGATGAATTCAAGAGGATAATCATTCATTAACAGAGTGTAAACTAAGTCAGAAATTTTGGATGGGATAAAAACAATATTCTATCTAATTGCCCGATGATTACACCCCTTTTATGTACTAACGGATGATTCGAAAAATAATTTAAATATCTCCCTGAATTAGTAGGTTTTTTATAAATATCGAAGAAGATTCTTCCTTCTTGTTTAACATCTAAAAAATTAATGCCGTTTTCGTCGCCAAAGTCAAGTGTAAATCTTAACCTTTCATGATATAAATTAAACAATTCCAGCACATTCTCTACTTTGTCTTTATGCACGGACAGTACAATAATGTCATAACGGAAATAAAAAGATGAAATAATATTATTAGTCGTAATAATTTCTTGTTCTAAGTCTTGTAAAACAATATTCGCTAATATAGGACAATGGAGAGCCCATTGGCATGCCAAAAATCTGTCTAAATATTTTTTTGTAAATATTTCAAATTTAAAAATGTAGAGTTAATTATAATCATAATTGCTTTAACTCATCGAAAGGAATCGAAGTCTTGTTTTCAATCAAGTTCCACCTACGTTCAATACTCTTTAATATTAAATCGGTCGGAATGTTCATGTACACCGAAACCACGTCGAACGATATAATACTGAAATTTTTATCGATTACTCTTCCATTGAGCTTATTCACAATATCAAAACTGTTTTTAACATAACTGAAATTCTTTTTGTTATTATTGTCTATAATATCTTTTAAGAAGGTCGCCAATGGATAAAAAGCACTGTTTATGCAACTAACTATTAATCTTAGCGGATGATTTTCCTTATGTTATGAATTTTTGGCACTCCATAAGAACTCGGAAGTTCGCTGTCCGATACATACAATTTTTTGTATATGTTTAGGTCAATGTACCCCTTGTTTTTCCAATTTTTTAGTAAATTACTAATTTCCGTTGTTATTTTGTTGATGGGATCTTTATTTATTAAAATGTATGTGTTCTGGTCATTAAGAATCTCATACATTTTCCTTCTGTAACTTTCACGATTCATAATTACTGTTGTGTTACCTTTATCAGCTCTGGTAATTAAAATTTCAGGATTCTCTGAGATGAATCGTTTTACTTCCCTCATCTTCTCATATAATATTATTCTCAAACGATTTAATGTCGCAGTTATCTATTGATTTAAATATTTACTTTGTTCCTAACCGTTTTACAAATTCCGTCATCAGTTTTGAAAAGGTTACACTCCACAAGTTTAATAAACTCGAGCATACTCTTTTTTTTGCTGATGACGTTGTTAGGTAAATTAAATTGCTGATCTAATTGCAATACGACTTTGGCTTTTTCTGGAATCTCAGTATGAGATTTATTAGCCATTGTTCGTTTATACTCATTATTGCAAAATTTGTTTTAAATCTGTCTGGGCAAATATTGTACGTTGTTTGTCGTTCATTGGCCATAATATCTTTGGTTGAAATTTTCTTTAACTTCAACGGTGCACTTAAGATATTGCAATTCATCTTAGAGTCTAACGAATGTATTATGTTATAATTAATATTTTTAATTTTCATTCTTTCTCTAAATCTATGACTCGCTCGCAAGTTTTTGATTTTATTATTAATCCTTTCTTGTTCCTTTCGCCAAATTCTATTAAAATTGGTTTCTTGTCTACAAAAGAAAGAATTGAATATGTTAAATGGTAGAGTTTTCTCTATCTGTCTATACATGTTATAATGAACATTTCAAATTTTACGTGTAATTAAATGTTATGTGTTCAAGATGTTTATATGCGTCTTGTAATTCTACCCGTAGATATTTGAATATAAAATTACGTTTCAGTCTGTCAATTCTTTCTTTTGAAGAGTGAAACAGATTATTATTTTCATTTCGTGTAAA